TGAAATCAATAAAAATATATTTTAAAAAATCTGTGTGCATGAGTCAGTATGAAGGAGGAGAGGTTCAGTATAAAAGTGGTATTTGAGGAAATGATTCACTCATTTTCACTTTAAGATTTTAAAAGTTAGACCATGTTTACTTACATTTCTGTATGACACGTCACACATACACCCTCCTAGTTAGATCTGAGGTGTCCGGCTCAGAGAAACCAAGGCTTCCCTCCAGCGATATTGTGAAACCAAGGACAAGCAAGGCTAGGAATGAGAAATAATCCATTTAGCAAACTAGCTTATGTAAGCCTCCAAAGCTAGAAACAAAGAAACTGGATAACTGAACTCACAGGACCTTTGAGTTCAAAACAGAAACCTTAAGTCCAGCTCTTTTCTATTGCATATATGTGTGTTTTTACATAGAATCTTTTCATCTTATTTCAGGAGTTTGAAATGAATGTACTGAAGATTTACCTAAAAATCACCAGGTATATTTAATGGGAAACACCCCACCCCTCCCACAAAAGTAAGCCTACAAAAGGGTTGTATTGGCCTGGCTGGTATGGCTCATTGGTTGAACATCAAACCATGAACCAGGAGGTCACAGTTTGATTTCTGGTCAGGGCACATGCCTGGGTTTTGGGCTCAGTCCCATTGAGGGGGTGTGCAGGAGGCAACCGATCAATGATTCTCTCTCATCATTTTTGTTTTTACTTCTTTCCTCCTCTCCCTTTCTCTCTCTGAAGTCAATACACACATTTTTTAAAGGGCTATGTTGGAAGTAGTATTTGGGGTGGGGCTTTGGAGAGAGACAGAGAGAGGGTGGACAGTGACAGAATCTGCCTGCCTGATTTTGGAAGTAGCAACCAATCCTCTTGCATGGGACCTCCTCTCCATCTTTCACGGTCCATGTGGACTGGGTGTGGCTAATGCCCCCCTCCAGCTCCCAGGTGGGCATCTTATCCAGGCGGAGCAGATGTGCTGGCCATGGCAATTGGCTCAGAGATTGGCATGTGATTTCAGTTAGCTGGCCTGAAGTTTGCTTTCTTCTTTTCGGGTGATGGGCATGGGCAGAGAACTGTTGGAAATGAGCAGGTGTTTCCTACTGGAGCTGGTGAGCTGGTGGGAGTCTCATGCGATTGGTCCACCATGTGAAAAAAACCTGTCCAGGAAAGAAGCCAAAGGAACCCGGCAGTGTGGCCAATGCTGAGCGTCAGACCATGTGCCAAGACATTGCCAGGTTGATTCCAGGTCAGGGCACATGACTGGGTTGCAGCTCTATCCTCAGCAGGAAACATGCAAGAGAAAAGGCAGAGGGAGCAGCACCCTTTCTTGTGTGCCCAGACGAACAGCATGGCCAAAAGCAGAATTTGTGAGCACTTTTCTGTATGATTATTCCACTCCCATTGAAAAGCACACGCATAACAAAGCTCAGTGGATTCTGACAAGCGGGCTGAGAAATGGAATGCTTTCAACTCCCCGGAGAGCCCCGCTCATTCCACAAAGAATTTGATTAGGAAAGGAAATCCCAATGAAATGGCTGCTAGGTTTCTACTTGGTTTGTGAGAATGTACATTCATCAGGCAGCGGCAAACACTCGGGATTCAGACCAGGTGTGTCTGACCTCAGAGACCGGCAAGCAACATCAGACAGGAACTCTAAAAATTAGGGTTTTTCTTGTGCTTCTGTATACTTACTCCTGTGTCAGAGGCCCCTGTTTGCCTTTGTTGAATACAATTTCAACTCCTTATCCGGCCCTATAAGGCCCTATGATCTGTTCTCCTCTGGTAAGTCCTCAACACACTGCCGCTTCCCTGTACTCCTTCCCCAACCTGGACTCAAACCCACCACACTCATTCTTGCCCCAGGGCCTTTGCATCTGCTATTTCCTCTGCCTGAAGGCTCTTCCCCATATCTTCCTGTGATTGGCACCTTGCTATCATTCAACCTCCAGCCCAATCCTCACTGACTACTCTTTCTAAAGAAAATGTCAGTCACTCACATGAAGAAAGCCCTCTACCACTGCTCTATAGAAAAACAGCATAATTAAGCTCAAAAGTTCAATTTCAGTAAGGACAACAGGCAAAGATTTCTAGGGACCCAGGACATCAACCACTACAGCGCATGTGCCTGGGGATAAGACGTGAGGTGTGAATGTAACCTAACAAATGAATTAAAGTCCCGATGTGCTTTTATTTATAACAATGAAGGGTTTTAAATCTGACTGTCCTGTTTAAAACATCTGGAGGACAGTGGTGGCAGAGGAGGCAGTGACGCCCCACATGCAGGGTTGTTCACCTCAGGCAGATGCCTTCCCAGTGCTGCCCACAGCCTTCGCAAGAGTATGTTCCCAAGTCAGGTGACTAATTGTGCTTCGTGGGTTTTTAAAAAAATATATATTTTATTGATTTTTTACAGAGAGGAAGAGAGAAGGATAGAGAGTTAGAAACATCGATGAGAGAGAATCATCCATCAGCTGCCTCTTGCACCCCCCACGCTGGGAATATGCCTGCAATCAAGGTACATGCCCTTGACTGGAATCAAACCCGGGACCCTTCAGTCCACAGGCCGATGCTCTATCTATTGAGCCAAACCGGTTTTGGCTTCATGGTTGTTTTTTTTTGAGGTCTCTATGGAAACTCTTAGAAACATCTGGACTGTTGAGCTGTGGAATTGTGCACCGAATCTCCCTCCCTGGCAGCCCATGCCTCTGCTGGCCCTGGGTCTTTGCTGAACTATGCAGAATGCTCCCAGGGGCGGTGCCTGGGCGATGGGGTTGGACTGGGGTCTGAGTCTGCTTCTTCGCTGGGAGATAAGTTTTCCTAGACAAGTTCTTAGCCCCTTTGAGTTGCAGAGGTCTCATCTGTGACATAAGGGGGTACTGGTGCCCGCCTCAGGGGTTCCTGCAAGGCTCAGAAACATGTGCTCCCCAGGAAGCCAGCACAGTTCCCAGCCTGGGGCCAGTTCTCCATACTGTCAAGCTGTTTTGAAAGCCCTTTATGCCCTGTCTATTTAAAAGGCGGGCCCAGAGGCAGCCACGCCCCTGGGGGATCCTCATCTTCAGAAATGCAGAACTCCAGACCGGCTGAGTCAGTTTTTGCCCTCGAGCAAGAGCCTGGGCGAGTCTGTGGGAAGTTTTCCATGGGCTGCTCTCCAAGTTAGCATGTGTGGAGGAAGGAACGTGGGGCCTGTTTTCATTATGGAAACCTGTCAGCAGCACCACTTGGTGCAGACTCCAGCCGCAGGACACCAATGACTCAAACTAGCTGGATGTTCATGGCCCACCATGCACCTCCCCTCCATCCCCCCATCCCACCCCAGGACTCAGTTTCTTTACCTGTCTTAGAGGTTTGCTGAGAGAATAAATGAAATCATGTGAGAGCTGATATCCAGGAGTGAAAAGTTCCTTTCCTCCTGTTTGCCTGGAAAAGGACGCCGTGGTTCATGTGGCTGTTTGCACAGGCTTCAGAGAGCCTGACTCCGTTGCTCACAGTGGCTCACTGAGTGGCAGTGGACATGACCTGCTATTTGGTGTCTCGATTAAAATAATGGAGAGGGACAGTGTCCCAGGAACTACAGCCTGGTGTTCTCAGAACCTAAATGGGAGAGTTTTGTAGTTTGGTTAAAAGGCACTGCCCTAGAAAAGACGTGCGCTGTGGCAATGGATGCTTCTGTCACTTACAAAACAGCCAGGATTACTGTGTAACGAACGGTGTGCGGAAGCCACCGGGATGCTTCCCTTTAATGTCACACGTTTAGCAGCCACAAAAGCCTTTTATTTATTTCCAAACATCACAAAGCAAGAAACACAAGACATTGTTTATATTAGCAGCATGTCAAGTACACTGAAACCCTCATACATTCCAGCACAGGAAAAACACACAGTTGTTCTCCGGAGACACTGGGCATGGGGGTGGAGTTCTCTGGGCAGGAAAGGGTCTGACCGAGGTGCAGAGCACAGCTCATGCAGCAGCATATGCAGCGCTAGTCAGCAAATCTCACCCCTTGCTCTCAGGAATGAATTGAATGCATTGCCTAACTTGATAAGGTAAATAGATGTTGATAACAGGATCACCCTGACTTTAACACCATCAGACTGAGCACAAGTTTTCTTCCCTAGATAACATTTCAGAAAATCGTGTGATTGAGACACAGTCACAATGACCACAAGCAAAGCTTCCAAGAACGTCACATGCAACTTCTCAAACCTGACATCACCATAGAGCCATCGCTGGAGACACACCCCCTCCCATCCACGATGCCCTCTTGTTTAAAGGCAGAAAAGGAATAATAGGGAAAAAACTTATAAAATAGGGACACATATACCTTAGAAGAGCAAGCATCAAAATACTTTACACACAAGCATGTTCTGGTTTTCCAAAGTACTTGATCTCTTTCTCATTAGAATTTTGAAAGCTGCCTTAGGTTGAATGCATAAAATCCAACAATAAAAGCAACAACTCTAATAACAAAAATAGGGGCATCCTGGGTAACGTTTCAATGCTGGTTTGCAGGGGAGGCTGGTGAGGGTAGGAGGGTAAAGAGGGCGCTGGGCTGCATCGCTTTTTTCACAGAGCCCATTGCTGTGGGGCAACTGTTGCACTGTAAGCAGAATAACAGGATGAAAACTCAAGTGTCTTATGAAATCAGGGCAAAGCCATGGGAGCAGCTGGCAGCCGAGGTCGGGCGTGGTAAGAGGTTTGCTCCGGAGAGCTTCGACCCACCCTCCTGTCACTGAGAATCCTTAAGTCTGGACGACCCGAGGAGCGAGGACATGCCGGAGCCACCTCACGAACTCCTTCCTCCCTTGGCTGTTGGGGAATCAGAGTCCGAGACTTACCCACGTTGGGATCCTTTCAGAGAGCCGGTGACATCCCATTTCCCTGTCCAAGGCCCTGCCAGCTTCCAAACAAGACGCACACAGCCATGGCTGGTCACACACTCTGGATTCCCGCCTCTTCTTTCCAAACACTTCAGCTGTCGGGAGGGGCGGCTGCGGCCGAAGGGACCTAGCCGAGGCCCCCGCCGCTGGGGCAGCCACACAGGATCTCGCGGAAGGTGCTCCTGAGCTCGGGGCTGCGGAAGGCATAGATGAGTGGGTCGATGACGGAGTTGCACATGATGAGCACCAGGTAGGTGTTGAAGTGTGCGGCGTAGCAGATGCAGGAGGGGTTTGTGGGGCAGGTGATGATGAGCACGAGGTGCAGGAAGAAGGGCGCCCAGCAGACCACGAAGACGCCCAGCAGGATGCTGATGGTGATGGCGCCCTTTAGGCACGAGCGCTGCTGCTGCTGCTGCTGCTGCTGCTGCTGTGGGGCCGCCCCGTCTGCGGCGGCGGGCAGCGCGGCGATGCGCCGCAGGTGCAGCCGCGCGAACAGGAACATGTGCACGTACAAGGTGCCCATGAGCAGCAGCATGGCGAAGAACAGCGTGACCAGGCACACGATGACCGTCTTGCTCTCGGAGTAGATGATGAAGACCACGCCGCACACGCCGCAGCACAGCCACACGACCGCGATGAGGCCGCGCGCCCGGCGCGCTGTCACGATGCTGTGGTAGCGCAGCGCGTAGAAGATGGTGACATAGCGGTCCACGGCGATGGCCAGCAGGTTGCAGATGGAGGCCACCAGCGAGATGCAGATCATCGAGTCGAAGACGTTGTCCATGTGCTGCACGAAGCGGTCCCCCAGGGCCAGCGCGCCGCTGTCGACCACGGCGATCATGACGGTCTCCAGGGCGTTGGACACGCTCACCAACATGTCAGCGGCGGCCAGGCTGCAGAGGAAGAAGTACATGGGCGAGTGCAGGTTGCTGTTCCTGGCCACGGCCAGGATGACCAGGATGTTCTCCAGCAGGCTGACGGTGCCCAGCACCAGGAACACGCCCGGCTGGATGAAGACCTGCTCGCAGTACCCGCGGCCGCTCTGGTTGCCCGCGGAGGAGGAGGAAGAGGAGGAGGGGGCGGCCAGACGCTCCAGGCCGTCGGGCAGCCCCGGCTGAGCGGAGGGCGGGCAGCACGAGGCGTTCATCACGGCCACGGGCTGCCACAGAGCTGGGCTGAGGCCGGTGCACAGGCTGCTGTTGCTGCTGCTGCTGCAGCTGCTCACGGGAGGCAAGAGTTTCCTCCGGTGGCTGGGGAGGGATGCTGGCCCTGAGCAGACTCGGGGAAGAATGGAGAACGAGTGAGCTGGGAGACGCAGGGAACTTTCCTGCTGCTCCAGGGCGAGCAGTGTTATGCAGACTCTTCTGCTATCTCCCTCCTTTCCCCTCCTCACTCCATCGCCGTCCCCACTTGGGAAGAGAACCTGCCACCGGTTGCTACAGTTACGGCTCCTCTCCTGGCAAGACAGGGGAATGTAGTACCTGCTGTTGGGAGTGAGGGGGGAACACTCACTTTCCGCACATTGGCTGGTGGCAAACAACTCCTACTCAATCCTCAGCGCAGCGAAATGACCACTGAGCACCCGGAGCTCTGTGACTGACAGCAGGTAGGCTCCCAGGGCTTGGGCAGGGGCTCGGAAAGCTGGCTGGTGCCCCCTGCTGGCCAGACTGAGCATCTGTTTGCTGGCTTTTCTGAGCCGTTTGTTATTTGTCCTGGAAACTGCCACAGGCATCAATTCATCCATGTACTTGTCCATTTATTCATTTTTTTAAGTAAACATTTACTGTGCACCTACTATGGGTCAGGTCTCTGCTGCTGGGCACCCAAGTTTATGGTGAGTCAGACAGACATGTTCTTCCCGTTTCCCCCCAAATTCGGAGTCTGGGTTGAGAGACAAGAAATTAGGGAATTAAGTCCTTGGGATAAACGTTTGAATGGGGAGGATCAGGGGGATGCTGGCGGATGGAGCCGGGGCCCTAACCTGGATGGCAGAGGAAAGTTCCCAGGAAGGAGCGTCTTAGCCTGGACTTGAAGGAAGAAGAGGCGATGTGGGGCGGGGAGGTGGGGTTGGGGTTGGAGGAGGGTCCAGCTGGAGGAATGACATGCCCAGCATTTGGAGGGAAGGGCAGTGGATCCTCACGCTGGCGTGGGAACCATCCAGAGGATGTGGGTGCAGAGGTCTCACCCTGCCTCTGAGTGAGAGTCACCAGGGCGAAGGCCTGGGCATAGGTGGGTGATTTTGAGAGGTAGCCAGGGTTTCTGTCAGCTGAAAAGGAAACTTGGTGTTTTTGAAGAACTGACAGTTGTTTGCTCTGCCTGGAGCAAGGAGCTGGAGCGGGGAGAAGCGGAGAGACACAATCTGAGAAATGAGGCTGTAAAAGTTATTTATTTATTTATTTATTTATTTTTATTTTTTTTTAAAAAATATATTTTATTGAGTTTTTTACAGAGAGGGAGAGAGAGAGAGAAAGAGAGTTAGAAACATCGATGAGAGAGAAACATCGATCAGCTGCCTCCTTCACACCCCCTACTGGGGATGTGCCCACATCCAAGGTACATGCCCTTGACTGGAATCGAACCTTGGACCTTTCAGTCTGCAGGCTGAGGCTCTATCCAATGAGCCAAACCGGTTTCAGCAAGTTTATTTTATTTTATTTTAAAGGTGAGATGTGCCCTTTTAAAAATGATGATTTCTGCCTTGTTTGGGAGTTTGAAAGTGGTGAGGGCTGTGGAAGGAAGGATTCTAGGTAGAGCAGGGATGGGGTAGGTCTGCATTTAGGAGGATTCCTAGCTGCAGAGTGGGGGCTGGATGGGAACGGGGGGAGTGAGGAGCTAGGCAGGCCAGGGCTGCAAAGATCCAGGGCCAGATGATGGTGGCTGGAAGCAAGGAGGTGGCCCTGGCGTCCTGGGAGGAGTGGGCAGAGAATGTGGGAGGAAGGACCTTGGCAGATCCAGAGTGCTTGGGTATGGGACTGTAGGAAAGGAGTGGGTGGGAGCACCCACCTCCTTCTTAAGTAACAGGGAGGATGGAGATGCCCTGGGCGCTGAAAACTGTAAAAGGCAGATTTTAGCAGTTGACTTTAATACGTGGTTCATGTCTGGCTTGATGATGCACAGAAGGATTGTGCAAAGTCTGGAAATGCTGAGTCCGTGTGTGTGTGTGTGTGTGTGTGTGTGTGTGTCAGTATGAGTCAGGAGAAATATGCATATGGAAATATAAAATTTGGAATATTTACACAACTTTGGAGTGGAGATATATTAGTAAGATGGGCAACCCCCATTTAGTATGAACAAGAGGACCATAAGCCAAGTCAGAGACAAACAGGAAGAAAACGTTTGCCACAGGCAAAAGTTACTGTCTCAAATAGAAACAATACTTGCACATTAATAAGAAAAGATGAATTAGCTCTTAGAAAACTGGGCAAAAGATACGAAAGGAAATTCACTGAACAAGAAATGCAAATGCCTAATAAACATATGAAAAGATGTTCAGCCATCTGGGGAGTCTGGGAAATGAAAATCAAACCGAGTCTTCATTACCATTTTCCCAGTTAGAATTGCAAGAATTAAAAAGATGTCAAACTCAGGAGAGAACATTGGGGGAAGAGCTCTCAGGCATACCTGTTGTTTGTGAATAGCTTCACCATTTTCCAGTGTCTACCAATGTAAAAATTGGGCTGGGTGTGGATCTCAGTCTATAAACTGAAGGGTGTGAGAAATACCACTTCTATTTATTTTCAGCAGAGCAGCGTCTGGTGTTAAACCAACCCAACTTGCAGGCTGGGGAAAAATAGTATCTCAATCCTTTTGAGGCTTTCCCTTCCTCCTCACCTTCAGGGTCACCTCCAGGTGTCTTTATAGTGTCTTGGTCTGAGGTTTCAGGGGCACTGGTCTCACCTGGACCACAAGGACTGTTTGGTGCTTTCCCTGCCCTTGGCCTTGGATACCTTTCTCTACCTCCACTCTGATTCTCTGCCTCCTGTATAGAGAGCAGTGGGGCCTGGCACTTCAACTCCTCATCCTAAGAGTACTCTCCTTGCTAATGAGTGTCAATTTGATCTTCTCTAAACGCTCCTTCTACTTACCTGGGGGAGACATGCAGATGCAGAATGACTTCCTAATGGAATCTTCTGTAAACCAATTGGCTTTACTAGTATTGATTTATTTTTTTAAAAAAATATTCTTATTGATTTTAGAGAGGAAGAGAGGGAGAGAGAGAAAGAAACATCAATGATGAGAAGGAATCACTGATCAGCTACTTTTTGCACACCCCACACTGGGTATTGAGCCCGCAACTCGGGCATGTGCCCTGACCAGGAACCAAACCATAACCCTTCTAGTTCATAGGTTGATGCTCAATCCCTGAGCCACACCTCCTGGGCCAAATTGTCTTTATTGATTGTAATCATAAGGCATGACAGTCTCGCCAGTGTTTACTGTATGTTGTTGGCACATATGGGGGTGTCTGGTCAGAATCTGTTATAATAAACTGTAATAAGGAGATGTTTTTTACTATGGATTTTATTTTATTTATTTATGTTTTAAAAATATTTATTGTTGAGAGTATTACAGATGTCCCCCCTCTTCATCCCTGGTGAGGACCAGCTATAACTATAGTGGGAGAGCTGTGCAGGAAACACACCTATAGAAGGCTTTGGTGCTCACTGAGTCTGCCTCTTTTGTGTGTTGCTTGGGATGCATAGAGCTGTCCACCAGGTTCACTGGTTCTAGGGCCTCCAGGGAAGTGCAAAGTCATACACTACCTGGGGCCACCTGGCAGGAGCTATAGAGAGATCTGCAGATGGCTGCTATTTGTATTGGGCTTGGAAGTGCCCAGGTGAGACCCAGCTGTGAAGCAAGGCAGACTTGTGCTAGTGCCAGGTCTTGGACCCTTTTTGATAGGTTTGGGGTATGCTAAGATCAGCTGCAGTTTATTTGAGAGATTTTAGCAAAGACTAAAGCCTGATCCAGAACAGGCCATTCATATAGAAAAGTTGTTACAAACAGCTTGGATGGGGCAGGATCTCAGGGAATTACCAGGGTGGTGCAAATAGTGTGAGCCAGGCTGGTGAAGACTTGGATATGGCCCCTTCCAGTCAGCTCTGTGACAGGGGAGGTCCCATCTCGGGAACAATGACCCCTGAGAGCACCCCCATCTGGGAGAAAGCTGTGCTCTTATTCCTGCCCCCATACCAGATAATCCAGCTCCTCCCTGTATGTGTCTAGGTCCCCCAAACCCATGCAGCACTGGAGCTCAGAAGGATTGAGTCTGAGTAAGTCTGTATGCTGGCCCTTTAAGAGGATCTTCTGGGATTCCAGTAGCCTCCATGTCCCACAGACACAATTCCTGCTTGTTTTTACAGCCTGAAGTTACAGAGAGTTCTTTTCCCAGCTCTGGGGCTCTGGGCTGGGGGACTGGTGTGGGGCTTGGACCCCTTGCTCCTCATGGTGGCCTCTGCAGAGAGGATTTCCCTCCTGATTAAAACAAAACAAAAAAGCACATGTGGGTGTTGGATCAGCCTGTCCCGTGCCTCTGCCCCTCCTACCAGTCTCAATGTGCTTTCTTCTTTATTTCTCTATTTGTAGGACTTCCATTCAGCCAGCTGTCAGGCAGTTCTGAGTGATGGTTTCTCTGTGTATTAGTTGTAATTTTAATGTGGTTGTGGCAGGCAGCACATACCAGCATTTACCTATGCCTCCTCTTTTTAACAAGGATATTCTTATCCGAAGAGATCATACACCTGGATGTTCTCTCTGCTTCAATAGATCTTCCCTTATTTTTGTGCCTGGCATACTTCTCTTATCTTTCAATATCCAGCTCAAATGGGAACCTTTTTCTTCCATTGATTTTTAGAGAGAGTGGAAAGGAGGGAGGGGGTGAGAGAGAAACACTGATGGGAGAGAGACACATTGATTGGTTGCCTTCCACACACACCTTGACCCGGGCTGGGGATCAAACCTGCAATCCAGGTGTGTGCCCTTGACTAGGAATGGCTCGAGCCAAAACTCTAATCACTGAGAACACTGGCTAGGGTAGATGTGAACAATTTTTCACAGTTTTCCTCAAATCTTCTGCAGCAGTTTATTTCTTCTACTTCAACCATCCCTCCCCAATCTGGCAGAGTTCAGCAGTCCTCCCTCCCTCTT